GGAGGGGGGGGGTTAGGGGAGGAGAGGAAGGAGAGGAAACTGGGATTGTCATGTAAAACAATCTTGTTTCTAATTCAAATAAAAAAAATCTTCAGAAAAAGACAAAATGTTGAGAAGCCTGGCTTCCACTGGAAACCTTGTAGGGTTTGGAGTGAGTCTCTTTAAAAAATATTTCTGAGGCTGGAAAGATGGCTCAGAGGTCTAAGAGCACTGACTGATCTTCCAGAGGTCCTGAGTTCAATTCCCAGCAACCATATGGTAGCTCACAACCATCTATAATGAGATCTGGTGCACTCTCCTGGCATGCAGGCATACATGCAGGCAGAATACTGCATACATAATAAATAAATAAATCTTAAACAATCAAAGAAACAAAAAACATTCTAAAAAATATTTCTGGCCGGGCAGTGGTGGCACACACCTTTAGTCCCAGCACTGGGTGGGGGAATGCAGAGGCAGTGGATCTCTGTGAGCTCGAGGCCAGCCCAGTCTACAGAGTTCCAGGACAGCCTTCAAAGCCACAGAGAAACCTTGTCTTGAACCTCCCCCCACCAAAAAAAAAATATTTCTGGCCGGCCAGAGGTGGTGCATGCCTTTAATCCCAGCACTCGGGAGACAGAGACAGGCAGATCTCTGTGAGTTTGAGGCCAGCCTAGTCTACTAAGGCTACACAGAGAAAGCCTATCTCAAAAAAGCAAAATCAAACCCCCCTCCCCCAAAAAAGGAGTTACCCTCCTGCACTGGAAGCCAGGCTAGCCACCAGCCAGCCCCACAAACACTGGTGTTTCTACCTGCCACAGAAAAGGAGTTATTGGCTATGCTTGGAATTTTATGTAGGTTCTAGGTAGGGATCTGAACTTAGGTCTTCATGCTTATACAAGTACTCTTCCCCACTGAACCATCTTTTCCTAGCCCTGGAACAAGTTACTATTGTTGTCTGTCTCTTCTCTTGAGCTACAAAACAGAGGCAGGAACAGATGACTATGAGGGCTGGCCTAGTTTGGGATTTGGGGGTCTTGTGTAGCCCATGTGCCTCAAACTTATTAGGTATGGCTGGCTTTGAACTCCTGGCTCCTTCAAAAGTTGGGATGTGCCAAGCTGTAGTGGTGCACACTTTTAATCTTAGTACTTAGGAGGCAGAGGCAGGCAGATCTCTGTGAGTTTGAGATCAGCCTGGTCTACAGAGCTAGTTCCAGGACAGGCTCCAAAGCAACAGAGAAATATCATCAGAAAAAAAAAAAAAAAAATGCTAGCCCTGACCTACCACACCCAGCTTGTTTTTGTTCTGTAAGACAAGATACCAGTCCTGCCTGGCCTGGAACTTTTTGGATAGCTCAGGCTAGCCTGAAACTTCCAGTCCTCCCACCTCAGCCTCCCCCATGCTGGGATTGCAGTCATGAGGCAACACCAACAGTTTTGTTGGGACTGTTATTGTTTTTGTTCTGTAAGTTATTAGGCCAGGTGTAATGGCACACACCTGTGACCCCAGCATTCCGGATGAGGTTGGCCTGGGCTACAAACAAAGAGCCTGATACAAACACAAAGCAAGCTGGATGTGCTGTTGCACCCATGATCTCAGCACTCATAAGTGGAGGCAGAGGAGTCAGTTCAAGACCTGGGCTATTACTCCTCCCCAGAGGAAGGGACAAATGAAATAGGAAGAGTCCATGGGGGCTAGCCCAGAAGCAGTCCTTCTTGGTTGCCCATCTAGTTTTCCGTTTATTTGTTTTGTTTTTTGATATTTATTCTCTTTTGCATGGGTATTTAACCTGCATGTATGTTTGGGTATCATGTATATGCCTGGTGCCTTTGGAGGCTAGAAGAGGGGGCTGAATCCCCTGGAACTGGAATTGCAGATGTTGGTATTACAGATGCTGCTCTTGCAGAGGACCTGAGCTCTGTAGCACCCACACTGAGCAGCTCCTAACTGCCTTTAATTTCAGCTTCAGAGGAATCCAACGCCCTCTTCTGACCTCCACAGGCAATGTGGGTTTTTTTTTTGTTTGTTTGGTTGGTTTGGTTTAGTTTGGTTTTTTTTTGTTTTGTTTTGTTTTGGTTTTGGTTTTTCCAGACAGGGTGTCCCTGTGTAACTTTGGAGGCTGTCCTGGAACTCATTTTGTAGACCAGGCTGGTCTCATACTCACAGAGATCCTCCTGTCTCTGCCTCCCAAGTGCTGGGATCATAGGCGGGTGCCACCACCGTCCAGCTCTACAGGCAGTGTTTTCACGTATGAAAACCACACACCCAAACACATACAAAATTAAAAATTAAAAAGAATGCCAGTTATAATGGGGCACGCCTTTAATCCTAGCACTTGAAAGGCAGAGGCAGGCAATCTCAGGCCAGCCTGGTCTACAGAGCAAGCTCTAAGATAGCCAGTCCTACACAGACAAACGTGTCTCAAAAACAAACAAAACTTTAAAAAAAATCATTAAAATAGCTTTACAAGATGTTTACAAAGAAATAAAACTTGGAACTGACTCAGGTGGAAAAGGCACCTGTAGTCAAGCCTGAGAGCTGGAGTTTCATCCCTAGAATCCACAGGTAGAAGGAGAGAAATGACTCCTAAAGGTTGTCTTCTGACCACCACATGTGTGCTGTAGCCATGAGAACACACACACACACACACATTAATGTGTTCATTAATATGTAATACCGCAGCTGGGCAGTGGTGGCACACACCTTTAAAGCCAGCACCAGGGAGACAGACACAGGGAGATCTCTGTGAGTTCGAGGCCAGCAGGTCTACAAAGAATTCCAGGACAGGCTCCAAAGCTACAGAGAAACCCTGTCTCAAAACAAAACAACAAACAAAAAGACTTAATAGAGCGTTTTAATATAAATGATACCCATTCACATAAGGACAACACACATCATAACCCACACCTCCATAAGCAACAATGCAGAGAAACTAACCAGACCACTCTGGGAAGAAAGAAAGATTTATTGGGGATCAGACTGAGGGCAGAGGAAAGAGCAAGTAGGTTTCATATGTCATTCTGCCGGGCAGGGATCTGAGCTGTGATAGGCTGTCCAGATCTGGATCCCTAGCCTAAGGTTACTGACCTTTGGGGGAAGGTTACAGTTAAAATTATCCCTGGAGGATTAAAGGTAGTTCCTAGGAGATAGGGACCCCCTAAAACATCTGTTTTTTCTAGTAAACAGAACCATCCCTTTAGACTTGTTTACCCAATGGCAATCCTTCTGTTTACACCATCACAGCCCAGCTAGCTTTTAGATGCTTAAGACATAATTTTTCTAAATTGAGTTTGTTTGTTTGTTTAAATAAGCCAGCACAGCTCCTACCATCTGCTTTACATAGACCAATGCTGAAAGGTATTAATTTGGAGAAATCATAGCAAGCCAAGTTCTCTTTAAGAGAGAATCAACTCATTGTAATATCAGAAACCTGTTTTTAGTGTGTATTATTGTGTCTTGTTTTCTCTTTCCAGAATGTGTCACTTATCCTAAATAGTACTCACTCTTCCCAACACTGTGTCATCTGGAAAAGTTAGATGATACTATTTCGTAAGTTAGGAACAAGGAAGTCCCCAGGGCCTTCCACACAGGAGGAAAGCCTCATCCTTTTGTCCCATGTC